GGTCTCTAAGTGTTCTAACACGATTATTCTCATTATTCTCATTATAAAGTGAATATTATCTTCTTCGGCCATATTTTCTGAAAATGATGAGGATACCCTACAAAGTCTACCACTTAATATACGTAACCACACTCCCATGCACGTGTAAGAATAGAATAAAAGGAAGAAGAAAAGAAAAAGAAAAGAAAAGAAAAGAAATAAAGTTATATACATGAAAAGTGAAAAGAGAAAATGAAATAAAAACTATAATTTGTATAAGAACTTACCTCCCCGGCAACAGTACCAAAAACTTGACACAACCAAAAGATTGATGTCTTCTTCCAAGTGTAGGAGTGTCAAAGTAATAAATAACCTAGGAAGACCGGGGTCCAACCACAGGGAGGTTAATTGTATAAATTATAGATGACAATAATATAACAACAACAACAAGAAAAACAACAACAACAACAACAACAACAACAACAACAACAACAACAACAATAATAATAATAATAATAATAATAATAAAGAAAAATAAGGAGAAGAAGAAGAAGATGATGAGAACTTTGAGATGGAATATTAATGTAAGGATTAAACAATGATAATAACAAATGTCAAGGTTAGAGGATTCACTAATGGTATGTCAAACAAGTATAATATAAGCTCTTATTATTCAATTGGTAACCACACATAAAGGAGGTTCCAATCAAATTATAAATTGTTAACATGATCGCATTAGTTATCTTATTTGATTAATGCTAATACTTGTAAATCTCGTCAGTCATTCAAGATTATAACTTATGTTAACAATAAATCAAGTTTCTTTCATAGCTCAGGTGTCGGTTATACCATACAGTATGAGATATGAGAGTGTCAAGTATTTGTTGTACCAAGTGTTATATAAAATAAATCTAGATTAGTCATTTAATAAGCAAAGTAATAAAGAGTGAACAAGATAACAAATACAAAACATGTTAGTATCAAACATTAAAGTCCATATTAACTTTACACTATACTTATTCTTACACCATTAGTGTAACCTTTTCACTTTGACATAATAAACTTAGCTAGACATAATGAAAGAAAGAAAAATAAATAAACAAAATAAGAACATAAATAAGATAAAAGTTAACTAAGTAAATGAAAGGAAATGAAAGGAATAAACTTGATATTAATGAAAGCAAAGCATAAACATTACAAAAAATACAAAGAGAGAAAGGAAGAGCATGATCTTGATCTGGAAACCAAGATGCCTAAATGCATGGCAAATGCCTCCTTTTATAGGCTAAAATTCATAAATATTCATATGATAATTGATAATTCAAAAATACAAAGGGAGAAAGCAAGAGCATGATCTTGATCTCGAAACCAAGATGCCTAAATGCATGGCAAATGCCTCCTTTTATAGGCCAAAATTGAAAACTATTAATTTGATGACTAGTTGATGAGTGGGTCACCAACTCTTGACTTGGTGACAATCCTTATCTTCTCTTGTCTGCCCAACACGACATTGCTAACATCAAAATTGGAACCACTTGAAAACATAAAAGTTGAAATTGTCTCAGCTTTCTTATGTAAACAATTGAGGTCATCTGGACTTCTGAACTCCAGATATGGTTTAAATACTGAACAGTGCTTGGGCTGGAGGATAGATTCGAACTTCTTTGTTGTTGTTATAATTTGGACTTGAAAATGATCTTTTTAAGTCTTAGGCTTATATGAAAGTTATAGGTCTATGTCTTACCTTTCTGTCCATATAAAGTAGACCTAAATTTGAGATCTACAGCTCCAGATATGACCCAATTACCGAACAATGTTTGGGTTTGGACTGTACTAGCATCTCTTTTCTAAGTTTGGCCGTCTCTTTGTCCTTTCAATTTCAGTTCTTAAATTCATCAATCAATCCTTTCGTTTATGTGATAGGCCTACATTTAAAATAAACATTTACCACAAATTAAAGGTATCTTATGTTATTAGATATGTTATTATAAAACATGCTTTAGTTAAGGAGTTATTGATACTTCAAGTGTAAAATGATGATATAAAACCTTGATAAAAAATGCACTTTTAAATACTAATCATGTTGTCAAGTATTCATAATTGTAACTTATGTTAACAACAAATCAAGTTTCTTTCATAGCACAAACGTCGGTTATACCATACAGTTGGGCTATAAAAGTGTCAAGTATTTGTTGTATCAAAAGTTATACAACATAAATCTAGATTAACCATTTAACAAGCAAAGTACTAAAAGTGAACAAGATAACAAATACAACACCTGTTAGTATCAAACATTAAGGTCCATGTTGAGTTTATACTGTACTTATTATTACACCATTAGTGTAACCTTTTCACCTTAACATAATAAACTTAACTAAACATAATGAAAGAAAGAAACATAAATAAACAAGATAAGAACATAAATAAGATCTAAGTTAACTAAGTAAAGAAAAGGAAATGAAAGGCATAAACAAGAGATTAATGAAAACAAAACTTAAGAATTACAAAAAAAAAATATAAAGAGGAGAGCAAGAACACGATCTTTATTTGAAAAACAAGATGGCTAAATGCATGGCAAATGCCTCCTTTTATAGGCTAAAATTTGGGACTATTAATTTGTTGACTAATTATTGAGTAGGTGGCCATATCTTGAATTGGTGATAATCTTTATCTTCTTGTCTAACCAAAACATCATTGCTAACATCATAATTTGAACAGGCTATATTCATGAAAGTTCTAGAAAAGTTTCTCAACTTTCCAAAAAAAAAAGAGTTATTTGGACTTCAATAACTTGAGATATGGGCTGAGCATTGAACAGTGTATAGGTTGCAAGATAGATTTTGACTTCTCTGTTGTTACTATAATTTGAACTTGAAAATAGCATTTTTTGAATCTTGGACTCCATAAAAGTTTTAGGCTTATATCTTAGCTTTCTATCTATATAGACCAGACCTAAATCCAAGTTCTACAACTCCAAATATGACCCAATGACTGAATAGTGTTCTAATTTGGACTACACTAACATCTCTTTTATAAGTTTAGCCCTCATTTGTCTTCTCAATTTCAGTAGTTAAACTCATTGATCAATTATTTTATTTATGTGATAGGCCTGCATTTAAGATAAATATTTATCATAAATTAAAGGTATCTTATAATATTAGACATGATATTATAAAACATGCTCTAATTAAGGAGTTATTGATACTTCAAGTGCAAAATGATGATATAAAACCTTGACAAAAATATAATTTTAAGTACTAATTAATACCCGTTCAGGTTTGAATTAGGTTCGGGTAGAATTTTTAGGTTCAAGTTTGAAATGGATAGTACAAAACTAGACTCATAAATACTCATTATCATCCCTATTATCATCCCTAGGAAAAGTCGATATAAGAAGAAAATGTTATGATATTTGTAAAAAAAAATTTGAAAATTCAATGGTATTTTAAAAAAACATGTCAAGTGCACAACATGTATGCTGGGTCCATAAGGAAGAAGGTCTTGCTTGTACATTAAGCCTCCTTGTTTTTTTAACATTAAAGTGTGGATGACATGACATCCACTCTTATTTAAAAAACATTATAGACAATACACCATCTTCTAGTTTAGATTTCAATTACTAAAGAGATCGCTGAAAGTTATTTCAATGATTTTTTTATTCAAAAATTCATTTTTAATTTATTTTTACCTAAAAAGACCCTTAGAACCTCAATAAATTAACCATTCAACCCAAACACATCTCTAAAATAGTTTAAAAAATCAAATCAATAAATTTTCTTTCTTTTGCAACCCAAAACTACTTTCTTTAAAAAAAATAAAGCGTAAAAAACAACTCAATGAAACTCCTCATCAAATAAAACTTGTAGACACCAAGAACATATTATTTATCATTATAATTTAGATAACAAATGACTTTCTCTCTTCTCTTTTATTTTTCTAGTGACTCTCTCTCCTCCCTCAAACCTAAGGATCTAATCATAAATAAAATGAAGTTTTTGATCAAATATATAGTTTTCAAATTAAAGAGATCAAAATAGAAATTAAGAAAACAACCAATAGCTTTTCTTCCTAAAACAACGTGATTGAACAACGTTAGACCAAAAAGAGGATTCATTTTTCTCCCACTTTCAATTCTAATCCCCTCATTTTCAAATTTTATCAATAATAAAATCAAATTGTTTTCACAAATTCAAGCATCAAATAAATGGCAAGATTTTTTATATATATATAGCATGAAAACCTAATATAAAGTAAAACAAAATAAATTATCAAGCCTGGACCATAACTCACATAACATATAAAGAAATTATAAAAAAAAAAAGCATTATTGTTAATGTTTTCACATAAATGATATAGTGATATATAGCAAAAACACACCACATGTTTTAGTTTTATATTTAATTTAATAATATAATATAATGGCTAAGCCTTCATAAATATAAAATAGGACATTCCATGTTGGAACTGACAGTGAAAATAATGGGAAAATTATAAGTTTATCCTTACTTAAATCATTATGCACAAAAGATATGAAGTGTATTTTATATTTTAGAAAAATGCACATGATACTAACATGTTGAAAGAGTAAATCTGTTAGTAATTCCATATATATAAAAGTAGTCTGTTAAATGATGATGATGATGATGATTATAAAATATTACTTTAAAAATAGGTTTCAGAGTTAAAATGATAATAATAATGATAACAATCACTACTAGAAAATCTACGAATATAAATGAAATCATCAACATAAAAATTCTATCGATATTTTAGAGTGATAATTACTGACCGATTTTATTCCATCCTAACTCCATCGGTATTTATTGACAAAAATATTTCATCGATAAATATCGAGGCAATTATAGTTGGAATAAAAAAGAATTTTAAAAAACTAAAAAGTATGATGACGTAGTATTTTTTATGGATGTTTTTACCAACAAAATTACAGTTGGATTCAAATAGCAAAAGTCATACAATGATGTGTCACTTTTACCAATAGACTTATTAATGGATTGATAGACAAAACCATCGGTAATAGTTAATATATGAATTAATCATTGACCCTCTCCTTCCCTATTTCTCCCTCTTCCTTTCTGCAACTAAACAACCCCCCCAATATCTACAACAAATAGCCTGCCACATCACCCACCATCCTTTCTTGACTTTTCCAATCACATTAATAATTTTATTATAGATTTTTTATTTTAAGTAAGTAAATTGACCATTTTTTTAATTTGAAAATAATTTTGAAATGTCAATTTTTTTTTGTTGCATATTTTTTGTAGTATATGTATTTTGATTAGGTGTTTACTTGTTTTATTGTATTTTCTCAAACAAACTTGATGTATAGATACATATAAAATAATGGCTTGTTTTAGATTTTGTCAAATTGTATTTGTTTGTAAATTTTTGAAACTTATGTCGAATTATCAACTTAAGTGTGTTGTGATAATAAAAATAATGACTTGTTTAATGGGTTCATTTTATATTTTATCAGTTTTATTGTTGAGTTGTAATTTTCATAAATTAATACATGCAAATTTATATGTGCGTAGATAATTGATAATGAATTAAGAGAAGTATGAAAGTAGGTTGATTATTTACTTAACATAGTTAATTAATACATATTGTCATCATTGTTTGATATATAATGGTTCAATAGAAGGCATAAATGATCATTCATGGATGTATGCAATATTTATTCTAAGAAATATTTATGGAAGAGGTATTAGGTGTTAATGCAAAAGGTGTCAAAATAAAAAGTTTATCCATCCAGATGTTGTAACAATGCATCTTCTGCACAAAACATTCATGGAGGAATACCTATATTGGTATACACATGAAGAACCATTTGTTCCTCACGAGACCACAGAAGAAACGATGGTTGGGTCAATTTTTAGTGTTAACAATGTGTATGGAGTTGAAACTGACAACAATAATTCTTATAGGACTATGGTTATGGATATGATAAAAATGAATTAAGGTCATGTAAGTCAATGTTGAATCGTAAATAAAGAATCTAATGCAGACTTAGCTAGGTTTTTTTATTTTTTGAAAGATTCTGATGAACCATTATAGGATAACTGTACAAATCATAGTAAATTATCAATCGTTGCACAGGTGTTTACCATCAAGTTGGATTATGGGTTGAGTGAGGTCGGATATGACAAAATTATTGAATGGGCAAAAAGTATTTTACCTGAAGGGAACATGATGAAAGTGAACTTCTATTTTGCTAAGTCCATGATGAAACCCCTCAGTTTAGGATACTAGAAAATTGACATGTGTCCACACTTTTGCAAAATGTACTACCTTGAAAATATTGAGCTGACTCAGTTCAGGATATGTGGGCATTCCAGTTATAAACTAGAAAATGACAAGGGAAAGACTCTTATAGCATATAAAAAACTTAGATATTTCTCAATCATACATGGACTGCAGAAGTTATTCATGTCATCAAAGACTTTTGAGCACATGACATGGCACTAATCACATGATACGGTTGATGGAGTGACGGTGCACCATTATAATGATAAACCATTGAAACACTTTAATAGTGTGCATTTTTACTTTTCACTTGATTCAAGAAACATTCGTCTTGGGCTATGTACAAACAGATTCAATCCATTCAGGTCATTTGCTGCTCCTTATTCTTGTTGGCCGATTATACTAACGATTTACAACTTGCCACTAGGGATGTATATGAGGCCAAAGTTCATGTTTTTATCTACGATCATACCTGATTCTAATAATCTGGCTGAAATATAGATGTTTTTCTTTGACCTTTGATTGATGAGGTGATGCAGTTATGGTCCTCTAACGCGTTGACTTATTTTGTATCGATAAAACATAATTTTCTTATGATGGCAACTTTGATATGGATTATCAATGATTTTCCAGCTTATAAAATGGTTTTTGGTTGGAGCACTCATGGAACACTAGCATGTACATTCTACATAGAAAACAACAAGGCATTCACGCTAACAAACGAGATTAAAACATTTTTTTTCTATTGTCACTAGCGTTTCTTGCGAACAGATCAAAGTACAGGAAGAACATAAAGGATTTTTTGTTAGCAGAGTTGAAAAGGATGTTGTATCTCCGTGTCTTTCTAGTGAAGAAATGTATGACGTGGTGTCTGAATACGATGATATTATATTTGGTTTTCAATCTGGTAAGCAAAAGTTTTCTAGTTTCGGTTTTACCCATAACTAGGTAAAGCAAAGTATTTTATAGTAACTTTCTTATTGGACAACTGATCTCCTCTACCATAACCTTAACATCATGCATATAGAAAAGAACATGTTTAAGAAAATTTTCAACATGTTCATAAACTTGAAAGGGAAAACAAAGGATAACATCAAGGGCTATAATAGATATAACATTATTTTATTATTGTAAAAATATGGAATTAGTTTATGTTGGTCACAAGTTGCAAAGCCTAAAGCAACCTTCGCCTTAGACAAGAATGCATAACTAATTGTGTATCAATATTGAAAAGTTTGTGCTTTTCGAATGGAGATGCCTCAAACATATTAAGGTTGGTTAATTTGAAGGATTGCAGATTATATGGAATGAAGAGCTATAAATATTATGTGTTTATACAAACACTCATTCCATTACCTTATCGTGATTTATTATCAAATGGGATATGGGATGCACTTATATATATATCAATCATTTCTTTAAAGATATATGATCCAGTAAGTTGCAGACACAGCATATTAAGAGGCTCGAAACTAATATCGCCAAGATAATATGCAAACTTGAGATGATATTCCCTCCACCGTTTTCTGACTATATAGAGCATCTACCCATACACTTACTGTATGAGGCAAAAATTGGAGGCCTAGTCTAGTATAGATGGATATATCCATTTGAAAGGTTAAAGATTACATATGCTATGTAATCTTTGATATTATTTTCATTATTTTTTTAATTGAAAATATTTGTTTTATTCCATATAGGTACTTGTTCAACCTTAAGAAAAAAGTAAAAAAAAAAAAATAAGGTTTATATTAAGGTATCGATATGTGAGGCCTGTATTTTTTAAGAGATATCAATATTTATCTCATACTATTTCGAGCCTTATTTGAGAACAAGAATCAATCACGTACCAAGACATGACAATGGTGGTGAAATATCTTCAGGTAAGAACTTGTCAATATTCTCTAATCTTGGATGACCTACACTAACAAATATTGTCAAAGAAAGATATTTGTCAGAAATAGAATTTAGACAAGCACATAATTATATGTTGTTTAACTGCGATGAACTAAAACCTTTTTATTCAATAAGTATACTACTTAAACTTTGTTAGTAATGGACTATTTTTTTCATGTAATATCACAAACTCATACATTGTTAAATACCTTATAAGTAACATCATCAATATTTACTGTCTAATATTTCACAGCTGATCGAATCTGAAATCTTTTGATTATAAGATGAACAATTTACAACGTGGTTCAGAACATATATAAGTATTATCACAAACTCATTATCTATTTAAATACTTAATTTTGTTACAGAATTCTCAACACTATTTATTATTGTACTTTATGTATAAGGTCTATAAAATGGGAAGGAATGTTAGCGTTACATTGTCTCTACTAAGTTTGGATCCTAAAAGAAAAGTGAAGTGCTACAACAAGTATTTTGTTAATAGGTACGTGTTTTATACTGAAGAATATGAGCAGGGTAGAAAATATATAATAGTGGGGTTTGTGTTAAGGGATTGACTTCAAGTGAGTTTGAAATTAACTATTATGATAAATTAAAAGAGGTAATTGAACTACAATATCATAGCAATCATAATAAAGTCTTTTTATTCAAATGTTATTGATATAACACCACTAATAGAGAAATTAGAATAGATCGCCATCATTGTTTGGTCAAAATTAACTCAAAAGCTAGACTCTGCAATATTAACGATGTCTTTGTTTTAACCAAGCAATGCAAGCAAGTTTATTACACATACAAACCTTCATATAGAAAGGATCATTTAAGATTAATTGGTTATCCATATTGAAAACCAAATCCAAAGGTCGTGTCAAGGTTGTTCAAGATGATAATGATGAATCAAATGTCAGAGATTATGTCTTTCAAATAAGTTAGTTGATTGAACCATATCAAGTTGCTTTATCAATTGACATGGAAGAAAATTTAAATTTTCATGTCTTCAATAATATTTTTATTAATGTTTATGTTGACGTGTTGTACATTGTTCTGAAGTCCAGTGAACAAGCACATATTGATAAAGATGATGATAGCAATATAGAAGATTGCATTGGATCTCACGACGAGTCAATTACAGAAAAAAAAGACAATTTGACTAATTATGAAAACATGAAAGTACTGTAATGCCACAAACGATAATGTAATATATAGTTATTGATGAAATTCTCAACAAAGAAGTATTTATTTTATAATTGTTATATGAACTGATGTTATTGTGTTGTGCATGTAACTTTCAATTTAAGTATTTATAGGATGGATAAATAGGGATTATAAATACATTCTACCATTCAATATGGAAAACATCGATGGAAATACCTACGGTTTGTGTCTGTCAGTGTATTCTAGAGGCGAGAGGAACTACTCTTCTCTTTCAAACACTATTCGTTGTGCAATACACCAATGAAAACACCAACGGACTCAAACCGTTAGTGTATTTCAGAGACGAGGATAATTGTTCCCTACCCCAGACACTCTTTAATGTGCAGTACACCGTTAGAAACACTGATGATCTCAAACCATCTATTCCAAGGCGAAGGGAACTTTTTCTCTCCCCTAGGCACTACATATTATGCAATACATGAATGAAAACACCAACAGACTTAATCCTTAGGTGTATTCCAGAGGTGAGGGGAATTGTTCCCATTCTCACGTCGATGATGGTAATTACTAAGTGCCAAGTTACCATGGAAATTACTGATGGAATATGAATTTCAATGCCTCATTAATTAATGCATCTCTGACTATGTATTATTTATATTTTTTACTGATGGAATCATAAACGGATAGACAAAATCTGAAGGGTTTTTTAAAACATTTTAGTGCGAAATAAAAATTTCAAGGTGAATTTATCGAGGGAATCACCAATGGATTAATTTAAAATAAAATTATTTAAAATTTTATCGATAATTCCCTTAGTAAATACGCAATATAAACCCAGCAAGGTCACTAGAAGTTCATTTTTTTTCTCTCATTTTCTCTCTTCACTTGCACTCAAATCCTCTCTTAATAGTAATAGAACTTAAGGTATTTACCATCAACATGATTAAAAGGTATGTGTGGTGAATCTTTTGATTTATTTTCTTCTTATTTTTCTTCTTTTCATTAGTTTATTAACAATGTATTTTTGTTTTTTTATCACACATAGACAAACTCTAAAATTAAGCATGCCATTAAAGTAAGTATTTTTCATTTCTAAAGCTTATATTTGTTTCTGTATTTTCTTTTCTATTTTATTGTCTACATTGCAATAATATTTTATTATGTTTGTTGAAGTTTAATTGTTATTGTTAAATTTATGGTATGAATGTTAATTGAATTTATAGAATTAAATTTTATTTAATTTTCTATTTTACTATCTACATTGCCATAATGTTCTATTGTTTTATTGAATTTTAATTGTTATTATCAAATTTGTAGTATAAATGATAATTAAATGTATAGGAATAAATTTAATTAAAAAAAATTCTTGTCAATTTAGGATTAAAAACATTATCACGTTGGTTGACATAAATTAAAATCAACTGGTTTTGTGGCATATATTCTATATATTTATAGGATTAAAAATTATGGGTAGTCTTCAGTATAGAGAAGGTGTTGCTGAATGTTTTTTAAAAAAATCAAACTTGATTGTGCAAATATTTATCAAATTTATGTAGATGCATAGAAAAAAATGAGCGCATGATCTCGACTAGTTGTTCTAGCAGCAATGATGACAACAATATGTCATTGGATATCGATCAAGAAGAGGCACTAGTGTCGATTCACGACAATATCTCTTCCATGTTGTTCCACAACGTAAAGGCGGTGTCCTTTAATAACGGCATCCATTCACTCGCAAGTACAAGGTGCATTAGAATGACAACCTTTCAATGTAAGTTTGTTTTGCTTTGAGTTTGTTTGTGTTTAACAATTTATGAACAACTAATATTTTATTAATTATATCCTTTTTTAGGTTCATAAACATTAAAGCCGCCTGGGTAACAACATCAATGTTTAAATCATTGATGGAGATTTCATTGTTTTAATGGAGTTTGGTTTTCAAACATCCTGATTGAAAACCTCATGTCGATGCATGCCCGAGTAATAACATCGATGTTTAAATCATCAATAAAGATTTTATTATTTTAATGAAGTCAGGTTTTCAAACATTCTAATTGAAAACCTCATGTCGATGCATGGTTTTCAAGATTTAATGTTACTATTAACTTAAATTTTAATAATGTTTTATGTAAATTCATTTACTTTATTTAGAATATTGATTTATTTTTCAGAAATTATTAATACAAGGGTAAATTTGAATGGGATAGAGAAAATAACAATGTTGCGAGGAAGGTTTGGGAGAATTACACTACAACTAGGTAACAACAAAAACAATATGATAATTATTTTCATATTTTAATTATTAAAGTTTCATTTGTCATTAACTCATATAATATGTTTGTATTATATAGGTTGTGTGAATTTTTAAAAAGGCTAAAAAATATGTCAGGAAAAATGCTCTGCCAGGTTGGAGTGGTGGTGGTTTGGAAGGATTTCAGACCGCCATACATCCTGGAGAATACATGGATGGAATATATTTAGTACATGATGTCCAAGCATTTCATACGATGCTCATAGTCTGGTGCGGGGAACTAGAGCCGGCAAATTCATAGCTTAGTTACCACGCATACTAGCAGCTTCATTTCTTTTGTTTTGCATGTAAAATTAATTTTAATCACATCTCTCTTTAATTAATTTATTGTTATTTATAAATATATTTAGCTTGCAACATTTTTTTTCTTACAGGCTACGACTCTTGGATGTAAGCTAAGCCCAATAGAGCTTTTTCTGGAAACACACCTACGGAGTAAAAACTGCCAAAAAAGTGTATAACAGTTCATCGACAATCACCCTCAACACTTTGTGGTGTGTTTCATTTTCTTTCATAAGTTATTATTTTCTTGAATTTCATTTTATACTTTTAGTTTTTATTTCCAAGAGACATATAACAACTAGTTGAGGAAAAGATATGAGGAAGATCCTTCGACCCAACCATATTTTGATCCGGATTTGTAGATGGAGACAAGATCATCTGATGGACCCAATAGAAATCGAGTGTACGGACTCTACAACACTACAACAAAGAACTTGTGAATGGTCTGTAGTATCTTTATCATTGGAAGCTCTCAATCAGTATCGAACACCTAGTCTTAGGTTTTCGTGTCCTTGCAACAACATACGGCTCATCTCATGAAAAATATGAACAACTCTCAACGGATTATGAACAACTATGTCAAATGGTTATGGACATGAGATTATAGATTAGTAGTGCATGTGTGCCCCTTTTTTGGCAATATGGTCCCGGGAACGACTAGCCTTCTTCTCCTCATCATCCAAAGCTGTCATTGTTCTAATTTAATTTTTATTTGAACATATAAATTTGTAATGAATATTTGGATTTTATATTATTCAAATTTAATTTTTACATATTTCCATTTTATACAATTTTATTTTTGTGATTATTTTCTTTTTTTTTGTTCAAAAGATTTTAAAAATATTTATTTTTTAATTATTACAGACGAATATACCGATGGATACAATTTGTTGGTATATTCCAAAGAGTTTGAAACAATTTACTTCATATGCCACAACAACATTGTTACATCACCGACGGAATTCCGTCGGTATTTTACAGAGAGTTGGAATAAAATTATAATAAATGCCACTACAAATCACCAATAAAATAATATCATCGGTGCATTAAAGCGGGTATTTTTTTTTTGCATGTATTTTCCGTCTGTAAAATTATCAATGTTTTTTTATTAACAAAAATGACATTACCAACAAACATTTTTCGTAAGTAAATCTGTTGGTAAAACTTTTGCTGATAGAATTTTAGTGTAAATTAATTGTGATTGATAGAAAATATAGGAAAAGTTAAACTTTTTTTTTTATCTATAAGTATAAGTCTATCGGTAAAGCTATTAAATTTTAGTAGTGACTAATAGTGATCGAAAAGTATCAAACTTGATTAATTAACTGTGATCAATAGAAAATATAGAAAAAATTAAATAAAAAAAGCTTGAGAAAACACTAGACAGCCTAGATAATCTCCAATATGAAATAAAAATAATAATCTTTTTGTTAAAATTTTGATTCATGTCTATCAAAAAAAAATTAAACAATTCTGTTTATATTTAATCATATATCTAAATATTAATTTAAATAAAAAAATCCTAACTTTAGGATTCCTCCATTGAATAAGAAAAAAGTAAAATTATTAACTTGATAAAAAAAAAACCTAAAACATATTTATTTATTTTTTAAAAAAGCAAGGTATCTCGAGTAATGAAAAAACATTGTTGAATTTGGAGTAAGTGGGGATAGGATTTGGTGAGAGGGCTGGAAGTTTATAGAAGTTTCTAGGTTCAGTTCTTTGCATCATTAGAGTTGTTAATTACGAAAGGAGTGTCCCTTGCAAGTCCTTCATTATATCATGAGTCTCCATCACCATCACAATTCACAAACGCGTATTGATTCTTAAATGGGATATCCATATTTGGAACCCATCTCCTAAATAATGCATTGTTGTCTCTTGCCTAGTCTTTTATCGGATATATCCCTCTCGAACGTCACTTACGTTGTTGGCCACATATTGAGATTATGTTCTGTGGAGTTGTTTTTAAATTTATTTTTAAAATAATATATTTCTTTTATCTATTTTTATTTTTTTTAGAACAATCTTAATAAAATAATTTTAAACAAAATAACTCAAATTTTTAACAAACATGCTGCCAGCCAAAGAGTTTCTAAACAAGAGGATTATGAGTAACATATATAGACTCTCAAATACGATTGGAAATTCTTGAATAATTAATTAATATTATCTCATTAAACTCGAGACGCTACGTTTCCTACATCACATGCTTGATTGCACACAACTTCATTAATTGCTCCTGAAGCAAGGTGATTCACTCGCCCTTCTTGTTATTCCTTGTCGTCCAACTTGTTCGCTATGCAAGTCAAAGGACCCATACTTGAGCAAATTAAGTGTAATTCCCATAAAATGCTTTAAGATCACATTGGACATGGAGGGGTTAGAAAGCGTACCTAAACCTAATTGTGGGGTTTCGCATATCTAAAGTATAAATGAAAATATTTTGTAAATAATTAGGCAACTCTCTGTCGGCATGCTGGCCTAGCTAGACCCCCCCAAAAATAGGAAAAAATAAAAAATAATAACACGAGTGAAATGGCCTTGAAAGGCACTCCTACTCTTTGTGACAAACACTAGCACTAACACCACCACCACCACCAAACTGCCATTATCGAAAAAGCAGCCTTAAAAGCTGGCCTTGCAATCCTTCTCTTCACAAAAATTTGTTTCTCAAAAACATCTAAACACCATATCTACAAGGATTCTTAGCATCAAAACTACCGATAATATTTAAGATGTGGCACAAGCTGGCCAGATTGAGGAGGAACGTGCAAAATATTAGGAAAAGCCCACGAGTAGCCGATGAGAGCATGTTTGGAGGCATGAATGGAGCTGAGTTTCCAATCCTTGTGCGTGATATGAACAGAGCACAAAGGTGGAATAGTCTTTCTGCTCTATTCAGAATTGTTCTTGCACCATTTTCCATTATTTCTTGCTCCTCACAACCTCATGTCAATGGTGCTGATGGTCTTTGGGTGACTGGTGAGTTTGCTCAACTATCAGAGATGAATCATCTCATGGTAAATGACAGCATGCGCTATGCAATCTTGATGTAGACATGTAAGTTAACATTATTTAATTAGTTGGCTTAGAGGGATTGTATATATGGAATGCAAATTTCTTCCACATACAGCTCTTGGCTTGGATTTTTAACAAAGTTTTTTTTATAGAGAATATGATCCATGTAATTTTATTTCTATTTTGTCTTTTAATATGCTAATAGATATTGCTTGTTAGAGGAGAAGTACAGCTATGTATCCTTGTATGATTAGAGTTTTCGATCCAATGAATAATGTTATCAGTTGGTCTTGCCATGGCTTCCAGATCAAGTTTTGAGAAGCAATGAGAATCACAAATCCATTGATTAACAACTCATTATATGGAGTTTTTGTTTATTTGAATAAAACCAGTCATTTTGCAAACGGGCCATTCAAGTACTTTAATTTGTCTAAATTAACCATAACAATTTTAAAGTGGATTTTTTTTAAGAAAAGAATAAATGAAACTGGTAGCTAGTGGAGTTTTGGTACAGTATCTTATAATAAACAAACAACTTAGGAGTACTGATCCTCTTTTGACAGTCCTTGATTGTGTTTGTTACGTTCATATTGTATAAGCTGGAATTGTGCTTGCCATCTGGGAAGTAGAAACATAATAGAGAGATGAGTCTAGTCTGGGAAGTAGAAACATAATAGAGAGATGCGTCTAGCCAAATATATATATATATATAAAATAAAAAAAAACTTCTGGGCGTTTAGGTCATGTCATTAGCAAAGGGAAAAGTATGATTCTTGGCTCTAACCTTAATTTCTTATCAGAGATATGGGAATAGGTTCCACGGAATACAACTTCCAAGCCACTACTTTATCCGAACCAGTAGTTATGGCCTTTACAACTTCATGGATTCCATGACACCAAGGTTGATAACTACTAAAGATACATAGCAGAAATTGGAGTGATTTTATGGCAGACAATATTATCCTGTCCCTTTCTTTAATGAAACATTGTTTCCACGTCTAAAAGGGAAAAATACATTGTACTCACTGCACAATATTGGTCCTCTCTTTAATTAGAACATTTTTAACAGCTTTCCTGCCCATTTACCTCTTCTTCGGATAATATTAATATTGGTTGTCGTCTTCAACATATGGAAATGTAATGCTTTTGGAGCAATCATGAGAGGAGCCTAGTGGGATTGTTGGAGTTACGACTTTGCTAAGTTTGTGTCCATAACTTAGTGCGACTTACGAACAAAATAAACAAGTCAACCTCTCCAACTTGTTGATAATTTTCATAATGGAAACACAGATGGTCGTGGGCACTAGTGGTGGAGAGAGTGGGTGCGTAGAGAAACCACTAAAAGTGGTGGATGAAAATGAAATATTAAACTTCTAAAACCAATTTGAAACCCTAGTAAATTAATTGTACGGGTGGAGTACAAATGATTGGTTTGCGTTATCTACACTAGTGTTTGTTTATCTA